CACACACACACACACACACACACACACACACACACACACACACACACACACACACACACGTGCTGGAGCGTGTAGGCCCTCCCAGAGGATTCAGGATGTTTAGCTGAACAAATAAAATCTTGTCTATGCTCGGAGATGGTGCTCAGCAGTTCTGAGAGACAGACGAACAACTTTTAACACAAAAATGACAGACAACAGTAGATTGGAATATTTTTAAGATGTTTTTTTTAATCCAGTTTGTCAACACTGTCCACATCAACTGTTAACTTCCTGCAAGCTGAAGTCTTGATTCCCTTGTAGATCAGGATTTTTTTGTGTTTGGACACTGATTCGATCGTATCAAATGTTCCTCAAATGGCCCGTGCTCTGGGGGAAGGAAATATTACCAGAATTCCAAGTAGGCCTTAGGCCTCCTTTATCCGGAACCACAGTAAGTCCAGATGAGAGGAGTAAACAACTAGCATCTGCATTAAGAATGTTCCACAGCTCAGACTGCAAGAAACAAATGAAACATTTGCAAAACACATTTAGCAAAAATTCATAAACAAACTTAAGAGGATTGACGTAGCAGAAGTTTCCCAGTCAACAACATTAAGATAATGGACTTMCGTAGTATGTACTCATCCATCCACAGGCAGACGTGCATCGATATTGTTTGAACATGCTGACATGCTCATATTAAGGCACAGGAAATCATCTGGCATGAAGATAGTCTGGAGCACTGTGGTTTATTGCCTGAGTGCTACATATATATATTCTCTGTATCAACATGAGAATGTACCACACCCATCCACAAAATGACCACCCAGCCAAAGAGACAGTAAACGGTTGAACTGTCTGAGAATTTRTAAACTCACAATTCCATCGTTTTCAGAAGACAGAGCTCAGTCAGCTGAATTCTACACGATTGTACAAATCACGCTGCCACCAATGAAATGTAGAGTGAAATCTGACAGGGAACTACGATGTCACTATTGGTATTGGTATTGGTAATTGGGGCTGGGTACCACCCAGGTGAGCGGGGGCCTCATAAGTGGGCCCATTGCTCTCCTCAAAAGATAATGGGCTTTAATCAAACCTTTTTGTCCCTCGGATGAAGGACACCAGGTTAGAAACCCTCAGTGTTCTAAGCTTCTC